AAGAGGACCAACAGAACGTATGTATACCAGTTTTGGGGTTTAAAGAACTATAGCTTCTTTTTATAATAATTATTTTCTCATCTTCTGGTTTTTTAACTGTTTTCTGAGTTAAACAGTTGAAAAGCCATAAGATGGAAAATTAAATATTATGGACAGAAAATAAAGAAGCTACATACTTGATACAATAAAAGAACATCAGTATAGACCGGTAGCACAGTGGTTTGGAGCAGAAAAAGTGAATTTTTCCGTCGTCGGTTCGAATCCGACACGGATCTTTTGGACTTTTTTTCTGGATTCTTTTCTATCAAAGTTGGAAGCATCCATTTAAAATAAATATGCCGTATCCCTCAATCGATCATGGGCAACCGGAACCCGCAGTTTTTGCTTTGGTATCTCCCAGAGAAAAAAAGCACCAAATTTTGATATGCAAATCTAAGAAAATAAAATGCTCAGGTTAGTATTCGCTTTCAAGCCAAAATATTTTTGAGAGCAATGGAATGCCAGATATACATTTCAATTTTAGAAAAACTACCGTAAAATCATGATGCTGTCAGAATAACGCATAGAATGGGTGAGACGTAGAGCAAATTCATACCCAAACGTCTTGAAAAAATGAATGTTAGCTATAGCTGGTGACGAAACACTCGTCCTTGTGCAGATCTCTGAACACAAGTCAGTCTCTTTTCATGGAAAACGAAGGAGCGAGCTGGACCTTCTGCAGAATGAGTCCATTCTCAAGATTTTTACTTCCAGACAAACTGCATTAAAATCTGCCATAGACTTACTATGTCTGTACAAGCTTCTACTGCTTAAAAAAATGTTTGCACAATTTCATTCGCGAATAACTTGTTTGCCACCATCTTTTCTTTCCTGTTGCGTCTTCTTTTCTTTCTTCCACACGACATTCTATACACTAATTTCTTTTATGAATGAGTTGAATCCGGACCTTTTTGAGTCGGTGCAAATATAGTTTTCAACGTTGATGTTTTTCTGAATGCAAAATTCATCTGAACATTTGGTATTAATCTTTTGCGTAACTTTCGTACATGTTCAGTAGATATTAGAGATTCTTTTCCGAAACAATTACTATCCATTTCAATGAACAATGCACCCGATTGTAACTTGAATAGTTCCGGAACCAGACCAGTTAGAGACCTGTGGTTTTCGTTGTTGGAAAGAGAAAAGATAACTTTATGCTTTTCTGTAATACTCACCGACCTCACACCGACTTTTGGCGCCACCTATCTGTGTTTAAAGTTGAAAATGGATTTACTTTTTTCTCTAATTTTGTCATAAATAAATCGACTAATATGGAAGCCAACAGAGCATGGATAAGTACAAGTATACAAGTAAAAGTAAAAGTATTTGTACTTTAGAACAGTACTTATACTCTTTTTACTCTGTACTTTCAAAAAATACTCTATACTTGTACTTCAAGTGCTTTTCTAGCTTTTACTAAGATCGCAATATGACGTAGAAAACTTCTTTCTATGCTTTGTTTTCACCCACAGCGGTTTTACTCTTGCATAAGTATACTTACATATATTTTAAATAAACATGACAAATAATATATGTAGGATAAGCGATAAAAACTACACGATAAACATGTATAATAACAGAAATATAGAGCAATAAAGGGGGGCGGGGCCCGGGGGGGGGGGGGGGGGGGGGGGGGGGGGGGGGGGGGTGGGGGGGGGGGGGGGGGGGGGGGGGGGGGGG